CCCTGGAGTGGGGGACGAGGAGGTGGTGGTGACAGACTATGGGCCCTTGTGGGGACTGTTTGCCCCACAAATGTCTCAGTTGCTGTCCGGTCTGGGACTGGGCACCGGTTGCTGCTAAATGTTGATGAGTGAAAGGTGGGTGGCAGGTGGTCCCCAGCTCTGCACCCCCGTCCCTTCCTGTTCTAGTTCAGCCTCTTCCTGCCCAGCACCAGTCTGGGGACTTGTGACAGGCCTCCTGCCCACCCTGTGCCCACCCTCATGATAAAGCCAGGCTGTACAGTCTAGCAATCAGTCCTGCCCAGGAGGCTGCCCCATTGCCCACGGGCCTCTCGCCGTGGTCTTCTCGCCGTGGTCTTCTCGCCTTCTCACCTGGTCCCCACCCCCTACAGCTCTGCCCAGTTGGCTTTATTTTGTAATCAGTGGTCACCTGGAAAGAGTTCCAGGCCCTGAGACACTTATGGGTGAAGGGGACCCTGCCCTTCAGGCCCTGATCACCCAGCCAGGCCACTGGACTGACTACCCACCACCCTGACCACTAAATGTGCCCCTGGCCACCTCCTTCCTTCCTGGGCCTGTGAAGCTCAGGTTGCCCTCAGAGCCACTCTATGTCCCCAGAGCTGGTGGGCAGCCCTGTAGGCCTCCTGGGTTCCATCCTGCTCCCCAGCAGGTACGGCACCCACGGTGAACAGCCCTGCACTCAGTGTCCAGGGCATCTGGACAATGCTGCCTCCCAGGCACGCGGACAGAGAACTAGACAGAGACTGCCCTCACTGACGTCTGCTCTATGCTGGGAACAGAGGGTGGGGGCGGGATGGGAGGGAGGTCAGAGGAGTGAAGCCTTCTCTGGCCACCCCCAGGGGGCACGCCACCCTGCCTCTGTTGACCAAAGAGCTGCCCAGTGGGAAGAGGCCCTGGAAGGCTCTCAGGGGGAGGGGACCCCACACCCGAGGCCCCCCCAGGGGTCCAAACCTGGACCCAGCCCCACACACTGCAGCCACTCCCTTCATCTCTCTTCTCACGACCTGCCAGGTGGGCAGGCTGAGGCCATGCTGACCGCCACTGGACAAACACGTGGGCAGGGCCATGAGGTGGGCGAAATTCCCAGGACCCCCACACCGTCAGATGGGACCCTCGGGGCTCTCAGTACTAATGGGGGCCTCTTGTCTGTCTGACCTGTTGTTTCTGGATGTTAATGGAGAGGGGAAGGGAGAGGAGGGTGGTGGTGGGAGGTGCCGGGACGGGACTGGGAGAGGGGGTGGGACATGAGAGGGTGGAGCCAACCCCAGGAGCGGAGAGCTTAGAAGAGCAAAGGGAGGGGCAGCGCCCTCTCAGAGAGGCTTTGGGGATTACAGATTATAGCTCACATCATTTGCATATCAGAATTTTAAACAGACAGCCTCTCCAGCAAACAAGGTCATTTCAAAGATAAAACTACTGAGTTCTCCTTCATCTTGCTGCCAGCCCCCTTTCCCTTTGAACTGGGCTGAAGGCTCCAGCCAGGGCAGCTCCAGGCCAAGTCTTCTCCAGCCCTGGGGATGCCTTACCCACTGCAGGCTGTGGCCCCCTGCCCATAGAGGCCGGGGCGGGTCCCCTGCTCTGCCTTTTTCACTTGACCACTTTCCCGTGGCAGAAAAGGACCCCCTCTGCTCAGATCCCACCCCAACGTCCTCTCCCTTGGGACCAGGCCGCATCCTCCTGATTCCTCTTCTCCTCAGGCCCTAGGGCCTCCTTGCTGGGCCTTGATCCCACCTCTGAGCCTTTGCATGGGGCTGTGCCCTGTGCCTGGCACCCTCCTCTCCCACATGCTCTCAGCCCTCCCTGTCCTGCTGGGACCTCCAGGGTCACTCCCTGGGACCCCTTATATCCCACATACCCCACAGTTCAGGCTGGTGTTGCCTGAGCTCCGTGAGGGTGAACATCCCTGGCACAACCAGCGTTCCTCCAACACTCTCTTGGGGCACCTCTGCTCTCAGCCTCACCCACCCCGTTGGCTCAGAGAAGGAGTTGACAACCCAGAGACCATACTGTGGTATCACTGCAGAGCTGGGCCGCAAACCCAGCCTGGACCCTGGGCTCTGTCTGACAGGAGATCTGGCTCTGGTGCAGCAAGGGCATCTTGGTGAGAGGTGGGTATGGCATCTGTGGGGCACAGACGACCGCCACCCATAGGGGAGCGAAAGGTGCCACTTCCTGCTCCACAGCCACAGAGCTTGGCTGGGCCCAAGAGCAGAGTTCTGGTTGTCTCAGACCTCAGCTTCTCCTGTAGACCCTGCTGACGCCCCCAGGCCTGGTAGAGTCCAGGCTGCCAGGGCGGGATGACGGCCCCGGGCCTGACCCTGAGGCGAAGGGCTGGCTCTGCACCAGGCACGGCTCTCTCCTCACAGCTTCTTGAGCAGCCGGCACTCTCCTTAGCTCTCCTGGGCACACGAGGAAACTGAGGCCCAGAGAAGGCAAGTGGGCTGCCCACACTTACTCAGCAAAGTTTAGACCCAGGCTGGGCAGGCTGACTTGGGGTCTGTCCTGCAGTTCTCAGGGCAGTATGGGGGTCCCGCTCTGAAGCAAGCCACCAGCCACTCATGCAGCTCATAACTTTAGAAAATGAGAACAAACACCCGAAACGCCTCCACAGTCTGATTTTGGAGCTTCGGAGTCAGCAGGTATCGGCCAGCGGTCGGGAGAAGCGAGGGCAGGGCACTGGTGGGCCTGGAGGTGGAGTGGGAAAGGGGACCTCACTTGTATTTGTAGTGCGTGGGGGGCCTCCTGGGAGGAGAGGGGCGGGGAGGGCTTCTTTCTGCCCAGTGCTATGGGGTGACTCTCGGGGGTCCTTTTGGATGTCTGCTTAGGGCCCTGACCACTGGAGGCAGGGCAACTGCGGTACCCCCAGCATGCAGCTGCAGAGAGGGGCCCTGAGGCCCAGCCTCTCCCCTGGGCTGCCGCCGCCTGGGTCCCAACCGGCAGACAGCAGCTAGAAATGTGCAGAGGGCAGCCGGCAGGGGCTGCAGCATGTGTGCTGAACCCTGGGCTCTGTCAGGCGGCCAGCTCCCACCCTCATGCAGGCCAGATGGGGAACCAAGGCTCAGGCCCAGTCACTTGCCCAAAGCCAGAGGGCATAGGGTATACTGTGGTCCAAGCTGCCACCCCCATCCCAGAGGGGACAGGCGGCTGGTGCCCCCAAGCTTGCCTTACAAGCTGCCGGTGAGGGCAGGGGGCTGTATTTTCCCTCCTACTTGGGGTCCGGGGACTAGCTGTGGGCCACGGATCAAGAAACAGGGAGAGAGATGCTAACACACGACAGGGAGGAGGGTTCAGATGAAAAGAGGACAAGAGAGAGGGCCCTGGACTTGCAAAGACTGACAGGACTTGCAGGCAAAGGTGGTCAGGAACTGGTTGCCCCTCTAACCTCCAGGCGGTCACTGCTGGGCAGTGCCCTTGGGGACACCAACCCAGCTGGGCCCCAACAAAGCCCTGCTGCCCCATCGCTGGCACAGGCGGCCCCTGCAAGATAAGAGCCCACTGGGCCTCTTTGGCTTCCCCGGCCAGCCGATAAGTGGGGCCTGCTTGGGGCCTGATAGGGGGTGGCCACCACGGCGGTTGGCCAGCGGCCGCTTATCGGCCCATCGCTGCCCACTTCATATCTGTGGGAACTGATAGGCAGCCCCCCAGCCCCCAAGGATGCAAATAGCACAGGAAGCTCCTGGGTGTACCCTGGCCCTTGCCTGGGATCAGGTTCCGATTTCCAGGGGCCTCCGTTTCTCTGTATGCGAAATGGGCATGATGAAATTGACACTCCAGGGTGGACAGGCACCACCTGGGGTGATAACTCAAGCTGGTGCTCATACACACACACCTCTGGCGCCAGGTGGCAGGTCCAAACCCAGCTCTGCCACTTCCCAGTCGGTGACCTTGGACAAGCCCCTTGGTCGCTCTGTGCCCCTCTGCCTTGGCAGACTTCTCCGAACCCCCAGCAAGGTGAAGCCCTCACCATGAAGCTTCTTACCACTGGTCATGAACCTCACTTGTATTATTACACCCGTCTGTGCACATGCTCCCTGAGGAGGGTGCTCACAGATGTTTGGTAAACAGCATGTGCTCAGTAAGTGCTTGCTGTACCCACAGATGTGTCTCCTTTCCATCCTTCCAGTCACCAAGGACCACGCTCTCCCTCCTTCACCCCGCCTCCCACACAACAGCCCTTGACGGCAAGCAGTACCTGTGCCTGCAGGTGCAGCCCTGCCTAACCCTCTGCACGCCACCCCGTGTCCCTGAGCTGAGGAACCATAGAGACAACGACATTCTTCCTTCTCTTCACAAACGATTAGACTTGGAGGGTCCAGAGAGAACACACAGGGTGGGACCTCCAAGGTCAGAATTCCAGTTGCAAATTGGAGGTGGGTAGTGATCATCGGCCCATCCAAGACCATCCTCAAAGACACTCCCTGTGGTCCAGGACCAGGTAGTCTGCAGCCACCTGCTGCCTCCCAGCTGCCTGGAGGCACCTCAGGGGCAGGGGCAGAGGCAGGGGCAGGGGCGGGAGCGGGGGCGGGGCAGGCTACCCTGCACAAACCTGAGCGCCTGTACAGCTCTAAATCCCTAGCCCCGCTAGGAAGGTCCTCCACATGCACCCACCTTCCTCTGCCCTGGCTGTTTCCGCCTCCTGGGATGCCTCTTCCTGCCTGCACCGCCTGCTCCTGATTCCCAGCAAGACCAGACTCAGCCTCCTGGGAATCCTCAGGACACTTCCGTCTGCCTGAGATTCAGCTCTGAGCATCGGCACTGCTCGGTGCTTGCCTCCTGTGATATGACTGGCCCCACAGGCAGGCTGGACTTTGGAACAGACACAGCCCAGGCCTGATGGGTTGACACCAACCTCTCCAACCAGCAGGCCAGGCCTGTCTCACGTTAGCCATCAGAGTGGTCAGCTCCCAGGATTCCCAGAGGGCTGAGCCCTGGGGCCATCCTAGAGAGGCAATGCTGCTGGCCGTGACCACAGACATGGTTACCTGGCCCGCTCCAGGGGCTGCTGGCTTCCTCCTCCAGGCTTGCCTCTGGCTCCTGCTCCTCCGTTTCCTTGGGGCCTCCAGGAGAGGTGGGGTGCGGTGTCGGTGGTGGGGGCAGGGGATTAGCTTCTGCAGAGACGAAAACACCATCAGGCCCCGCCAAGCTCTGGGCACCAAGGTGCCTGACTACTTGCCCCACCCTGTGGCCAGGAAGGACACCGAGGCCCAGGTGGGTGAGCTTGTGCCTAAGGTCACCCACCCCTACCTAGGCTTGCTCTAATCGGGGAGGATCAGACACCTCATTTTCCCCCTTGGCCTTTAATACCTCTCATCCCCCTCATTAATTGTAGTAATAATAATTGCTATTCCAGCTGCTGTTAATAATTAGAGTGCAGGATGCCCTACCAGGCGCGCCCAGGCCAGGGGCCCGCCCAGGCCAGGCATAAGTGTGGGCTCCGCCTCCCTGGTCTCCTCTGGGAGCAGCTGGGGGCCTCTCCAGCAGGCCCTGCATCCAATTCCAGCCCAAAGGGCATATTTGCCTTCCCTGCCAGCCTGATAACCACCTCAGCCCCCAATCGATGAGCTCCCATAAAAGCCCCCCCTTGGTGACGTCACGCGCCCGGCAGATTATTAATACCCAAGATAAGGGCCATGATTAACATCAAATAAATCAATCACACAGTATAAAAGTCCTATTATTTTTGGCTATAAATCAACGTGGCTGGCATTTGAGCTCCAGCCACAGAGAGGGAGCTGCGCTGGGCCCGCCCGAGAGGCAGATATTGCTCCTGCTGCCTTATCTCGCCCATCGCCACGTTATCACCACGGCCTGTGCCAGGTGCAACCCCGGCTGTTTTTTTCCAGCTCCTTCCCCACCCCACCCCCATGCGGCCCCAGTTCCCAGATCAGATAAGGGGCACTGGCACCCTAGGAAAGCCACTGGGTCCAAGTCCACCAGTAACGAACCACTTGCCCTTTGGCAATTCCAGGCCCCCGCGAGGCCTCCCCATTAGTGCACAGCACCTAACAGTAATGGTAATGGTGACAAGGGGCCCCTCACACACTCCCTCAGGCCCTTGGCCACCCCAAAGGGCTCACGCCCAGTTACAGATTTAGAAAACTGAGGCTCAGGAAGAAAAGGAGCTTGGGCTGGGGACCAGCTTGGCGGGGGAGGCTGATGCTCCACTAAGCACCATAAGATGATGACGATGATGAGGATGATGATGATGGCAGCGGCAGAGATAACAACAAACTGGAGCAGGCGCTAGAGGCCAGGTTCACGATCCCTTTACATGGTCTGGCCGTTCCTGGTGAGCTGAGGGTGACGGGAGCCCTGGACTCTGGGTTCAACTCCCGTTGGCCCAGCCTCCTCTCACGGCATAGCCCTGGTGACTCCAGCTGGCCTGCTGCTGGGGAAAGGGATGCAGGGGCCAGCAGGAGGAGGCTCAGAGGATGCGGCTTGTTGGGCTTTTGGGCCTGTGGTTGTTCTAGGGGAGACCCTGACGCTCTGAGACTGGGACCTGCTCGGGAGTCCACAGTGAGAAGGAACCTCCCTGCCAGGGACTAAGGTCTGTCTGGTGTATCTGCCTGCCCCTCTGCCCCTCCTCGGCTTCTAGGCCCCCTTCCCCTGCAGAACTCTCCTGCTGTCTACTCTCCATCCCACCTCAGGGCCTTTGCGCTGCCCAGGGAGCCTCCCCTGTGCACCAACAGCATGGGTGGCTCTACGCATCCTTTGGGTCTCTGTTCAACGTTGCCCTCCCACCCCGCATCTCTGCTTCACTCCAGTCTTGCCCACCCACTCACCACCCTCCCAAATGGTCCAGTCTGTGGCTGTGCCCCATCAGACTCAGGCCGCATCATGAGACCTGAGGGTAACTCAGCAGGGGCGTGCACTCATGGTACAGAATAGTAACGGGAGTTAAATCTCCACCCATGGCCCTGGTGGAGAATCCCGGGGGGCGGGCAGAGGGGAGGGGCACTGGGGCTCATGGCAGGTGGCTCAGCCAGAGTCCACGCACCCTCATCCTCCTAATACTAGCTTTCAACCCTCAGTTTCTTCTAGAAAATGGGTGAGGGTGCTGACCTACCCCAATGCCTCTGCCTCAGTGAGGTCCCTCCTACTGGGAGTCTCTGGGGGTCTCTTGGGGGTGCAGCTAGCCCAAGAGGCTTCCCCAGCTTTGAGGCCCCACCGGGGACCTGTCCTGAGCAGGCCTCCTGCTGTTGGGTTAATTCACCCCTGAGTGGAGGGCTGCCCCTCCTTCCAAAACTTGTCCTCAGCTTGAGAAATTTGTCCCACCCTCCACTGGGGAGACTGCCACCAGGAGGGCCCCAGAAGAGAGTCCAGGTGCCTGGGGTGGTGTGGGGTCAGGTGGAGAGACTGGGGGAATCGGTGTGACTCTAGACCTCGGGGTCAGATCACTGCTTAGATGGTTAGGCTATGTGACCCTGGGCAGGTCTTTAACCTGTCTGGGCCTCATTTGCTCAGGTTCCAAATGGGGTGACATGCCTAATACGAGAAGCTGCTATGTACTGAGCACTGTGTGTGCTGAGGTAGGTTTGATAGGCATGCGAGGCCTTGCTGCCCCATTTCATAGAGGGTAAACTGAGGCTCAGAGGGAATACAGCTTCTTCAAGGTCGCTCAGTGGCCCGTAAGACTCGTTATCTAACCCTGGACTAGACGTTCCCCATCTGTACAAGGGGCTAGACTTCTAAGGCCCTCCTGCCGAAGGTGTGCATGCCTCCTCTCCCTCGTTACCCCCAGCCCCCCAGCCCCTGTGATCAGGCCCCCTGCTGGGAGCCACCTGGGCTTCTCCTGGCCCTACCGGGTATATCAGTTCGCCCACTGATACACCCAGCTCAATGCTACTTCACAGGTGTGCGAACCCAGAAGGGCTGGCTCCCATGAAGTCATAGGCAAGGATGTGAAAAGGTGCAGGGTGGCTCAGGGTACCAGACCCCGGCCTACTATATCCACCGCTCAACTCACCTGGAACGGAAGGGCTCAGGGGCCGGGGCCCCTCTTTGGCCTCAGGCTCGGGTGCTGCCGCCTCTGGCTCCGGGAGGCTGATATCTGCGGCCTGGGCCTCTTCTCCAGCCTCCATGTCTCCAAGGGAACCTGCAAGCATAGCCCAAGGAGAATGATGAGGTTCTGCCTCCCCATGGTGCACCCTGACCACCCCATGGGGTCAGAGGCCATGAGAGGGCAGCCATCAGTGTGGGGGCTCCCTCTGGGTCCCCCAAGACTTGATGTGTAAACCTCACCCCATATCAACCCAACCCCTGTGACAATTCCAACAGCTGGGGGTCACTGGCCTTTCTGCCCCACCTGACTTGCCCTACAGCCTGTGCTAGCCCAACGAACCGCTTTTGCCAGGACAATGGACACAGACTCTCCCTTCTGCTCTGCTCCAAACCATGGGGCAGCTATGGGGACTGTTTGTGAGTCAGGGAGCCCCCTGGAGGTCACACGACCGCCATGGCCTTCCACGCCCCGCAGGTACGCACTTCAGGGCTTTGCAGAGCCCTGGTGCACATTTACAGCCCCTGTGGGTGACCGTTTCCTGGGCCTTGCAGAGCTGTTTCCTCTGCCCGAGACCCCTCCTCCAGGAAGCGGCCTGTACTCAGGTTCCAAAGCCCGAGAGCTCCTTGAGTGTGGGCCCCAGCGTCCAGCACATGAGGCGCTCAGAGAAGCTGCTTAAAAGAATAAACAGCTGATGGGGCGCAGGTGAGCACACTGTTGTCCACAGTCTACCTCTGGGGGCTAGAGAGCCATAGGCCCAGGGTCCCCTAATTCCTATCCCCCCAGAGTCTTTTACAGGGGGAGCTCCAGGGAGCCCACCTTACAGGTGAGAAGGCAGATGGGAATCCAGGTGATCTGACCGCAGACCAGGCCTGGGAGGGTGTTGAAGCTGGACCCCGCAGTGCCCCTGAGTACAGGCCAGGGTCGTACGCAACATCTGTTCTGAGGTCAGGCAGGTGGTGCCAGTGGACAGAGAGAACACTGGTGACCAGGTGTCCCTCCTCATTCTGCTCCCCAGATCACCCAAGCCCCGTCTATCCCTGTCTCAGCCTGGGTCCCAAGACCAGGTCTGGGGTGGGGTTGCCTCCTATCCCAATCACGGGTTTTTTCCTTAATCTTTCCTTCCTCCGGCCCTTCCTTTCCTTCCTTCCTTCTTCCTTCCATTCTTCCTTCCTTTTTTCTCTCTCTCTTCCGAGAAGTCTTAGGTTTTCAACAAAATTGAGAAGAAAGTACAGAGATTTTCCATATATTTCCTTCTCCCACACATGTATAGCCTCCTCATTCACAGGGATGACACTTTTTTTTTGGGATCAAGATGAACAGCAGGTTCTTGAATAACATCATTTACTTATAATGTTGATGAGATGCTGTAGCAACCTCACTCTGGTTTTATATCAATTAGCCTAGGGAAACTTGGTTGCATTACACTAAGAGTCACAGAACCTATAAGGGATGTCACATGAGGACTTACTGTACCTTCCCAGGTTCTTTCTCTGCAGCTACCTGCCCTGCCCCCTCCCACCAATCATCAGGGAGATGACACTCATCATCTGGGTATGGCCTAAGGGAGGGTCCTGACTCATGAACCCCAGCCATACAGCTGGGGAGGGGACTTCTGGGCCCAGGAAACTGAGCCTGAAGCATCCTGGCTCTCTTGCTGCTCAGGCAAATGAGCAAGAAGAAAAGTCTAGAAGCCATGGCAACATCTGTGAATTCACATGTCAGAGGTGCCTGGTGGAGCAGAGTGGGGCTTGTTTTGACAGGAACAGATGGAGCCTGAGTGAGGAGGAAGGGGAGGCCACTTCTCAAGGGCCGTTGAGCTCCCGGTCCTTAGAGGCAAGCAAGCAGCGGCAGAGGGAGACTCGTTTGGGATTCATACCTTAGTGGCTGGTGGGTCCTGACTTTTGTATGTCATGACCCCTCTGGGAATCTAATGAAATCCAGCACTTTCTTCCCAGAAAAACACAGAGAGGGACCAAAATGTGTTAAGTTCCAGAAGGCTTCTCACCGAATCGCTAGTGTCCTCCATCCTGATGTCCTTACCCTCCAGCTTTGCCAGGGTTTTCCAGGGGTCAAAGAAGCTGGGGGGTCAGCTGATGGAGGCAGACGGGGCCTGCTGACTCTTCAGTGACTGCCCAGCAAGTAACAACTGTGCCACCTGCCAGTGTCCAACATGGGCCCCAGAAGCTGGCTTGAGGCAGCAGGTCAGGGAAACCCACGACGCTATGACAGAATGAGGTGGCTGAGTTCCCAGGCTTCCTTTCAAAATCTAGCAATTTACATGGAGCAGGGAGGTGCAAAGCTGGTTTTCTCTTTGCATTTCAGCTCACCTCTCTGACCACACACAGGTGGGTGATGGCCCGCTACAGCAGTGAACACTGAGGTGTCTGGCGGGGCAGACACCTCTCCTGACTTCCGCGGACATCTGAGGGCAGACGCTGTTCTAGAAAGCAGAGGTGCTGGGACCTCTGGACTCTCTGGGGACTTCCAGGCCAGTAGGGATGTAGTCAGACAATAGACAGGCCCCAAACCGAAACAAGAGAAATTATAAATGTGCTGAGAGCAAGGGAGGCAACTGAGAAAAACAGTAGGCAGCAGATCTCAGAGGGGACGGCGCGGGGACGGCGCGGGGACGAGGCTGACGGCGGAGGAGAGGGCAGAGGAAGCGGCTTGTGGAAAGGCCTGGAATCCAGACAGGTCTCTATATGGTAGAGGAAGGAGGAGGGGTAGTCAAAACAGAGGAGAGTAGGGCCGACCTAGAGGCAGGGGTGGGTAGGGGGCAGGGGAGCAGGTGGATCCTAACCCTGGAGGCCCACAGAGGGCCTGCGCAGGATGCAGGGTCATTTCCCAGCTGTAGTTCTCTGGACTTAGCTCCTGCCTCCCCAGCCTCCTCAGGACACCTCAGAGCTATAATTACTCAGACCACACAGAACCAGCCCTAGGCTAAGCCTCCGTACCCTCGTCAATGTGCCCACACAGGCAGGCTCTGTGTTGAGCTGGGCACATCCCAGACCGGTCAGACTCGTGCCCCTGGGACAGGTGGGAGGCCTGACCTGCCGTAACCTCCCTGGGCACGCACCTGGGCAGGAAAGCACTGGATGCAGTGGAGGTCGGCCTCCGATCCCTCTCCCACAGTGTCGGCCCCGACTGGGCACTGCCCGCCACTGTGGCCAGCACGCAGTCCCAAGGTTGGCCCCCTTGCTGGCCCTTTTCCAGAAGCCCTGGTAAAGTCTGTGGCTCATTCGGAGCTGGAGGGGTTGCCAGGGAGCTATGGCCCCGCCTGCTGAATGGCTCGTGAGATTTCAGGGCCTCGGTTGCCTGCCCTGGAGAGTGGGTATGAAGGGACCAGGGCACTGGGGTGGGGGTGACACTCCCTTCCCCACACCTGCCAGGACCCCGGGACAGCAGCCCCCACTCTTGGTGCCTCACCCAGGTGGGCCTCAGACACCCAGGGAGGCCTTGGGCTCCCGTTGGGTCCATTTATGGGAGAACAAAGGCGTCCGCTCTGCACAAAGGCGTGACAATAAGCGTGAAGAAAGAGGCTGCCGGCTGAGGCAATTTATTCTAATGCCACTAATTCAGTTCCAGCACAATTAAAACAGCTCTGATAATGCAGGAGACAACTGCCAACCAGCAAATCGCTACAAGCCCACAACCAGAATGCAGCACCGCAAATTCCACCTCACACCTGCCTTGGTGCACAGAGAGCGTGTCACATTGCCCCCGCTGAAGCCCCTCTGACCACCCTGGTTCCCCCTGGGGCTCAGGCAGGAAGGCTTCTCAGCTGGCCGTGGTGATTGCTGAGACACTGTGCTTTCCTGGGCGCCCTGTGCTAGGAAAGAGCCTGCCTGGCCCCTGTGGGACCATCTCTGCCCAGAGACCCCAACAACTGATCTAGGCCAACCCACAGCCAGGCAGGAGGTGTCCTTGCTGTGTGGCCTCAGACAAGTCACTCTACCTTTCTGTGCTCAGTAACGACACAGCTCCTACCCTACAGGATGAAACGTGGCAACACCTGTATCCGAGCTTAGCTCAGGGCTGGCACACAGTATGTGGACCCCAAACATCAACCGTCATCAGTTAGCTACCACCACCCACCACCTACCACCCGGCAGGGCCTGAGAAATGGTGGGTGGCAGGGCGGGGTGTACATTTATGATTAAGTACTATCCTGTGCTCATTTTATAAATGTCCTCCCCTTCCTGTAACCAGGGCTGTAGGGGTGGTGGGAGCCAATCCACAAAATACCCCACCACACATCAAACCGGAATGGTATTTCCTCTTTGCCTGCGCAGTTCTACGCTCCTTCGGGAAGGTGTGCGTGGGGAGGGGGTTACAAGACCACCACAATGGGAGGAGTGGTGGCAGAGGACAGTGGGAGGGCAGTGGGCGGGCAGGGCCCTGAGGACGGTCATGATGGGTGAATACACCTCCCAAGATGGAAGCACAAGTCATGCTTACCTTGCAGATGAGTAAACTGAGGCCCAGCAAAGTGAACTGACCTGTTCATGGGCCGGGGAGAGAAAGCAGCAGTGGGGGGCAGGTGAGGCAGGAGCCTCCTCCAACAAGCCACCCTTCCGGACACTGGCTGAGGCCATGGCCCTTCTCGGCACGGGGTGCAGCCCCATGCTTCTCATCCTGTGAACCACCTGGGGCGAGGGCGAGGCTGGCCGCGTACCCCGGTGGGGTCAAGAGGCCAATGCCCAAAGCTGAGCACCTGTCTGGGGGAGCCTGTGGAGGATGCCGTTGGTCACCACTGGCCAGGGCAGCACTGGGCATGGGCCTCGCTGCCCAGAGCCCCTCGGTTATCACGGTGAGCAGGCGCCACGCGCGACGATCTGTCTCCTGCTCATTAAGCCGGATGCCGAAATGGAAATGAAAACATAATAGCTATTTGATTGGGGGTGAGATATTTTGCATATTGGCTCAGCGCTGATAGCGGAATTTCATCAACTCCCTTTTTTCATGCTTTAAAACTGAATTACGGAGACAGGCTCTGTGCAGAGGGATGATCCCAACTCCTTCCATCCCGAAGCAGGAACGATTAACGACCCCCTCCTGGCTTTGATGGTAAGGCGGCTGAGGGGTCCTTTTGA